TACGCAAAGATAAAGTAATCTACTTGGGGAACACCTCAACACCATCAATAAGGCCAGTTTCACCCTAATTATTGGTAATTCTTGGTGGAATCGCACTGAATTTTTTAAACCTCTTCAAGAAGCATTGATGGCTGTGCCTTGAGTCAACAGGTAAATCTTCGGTTAAGATTCAATACTACTCTTAGAAACGAAAAATGAATTGCTTGAACGGTGTTGACTATTTGCGCAGTATGTAGTCATTTGCCTTGGTTCCCTTGATGCTTGGCTAACTGTAGCTTATTGTAAGCGTCTACACCAATTTCTCACAAGTTAATTAAATAAACGCACTTAAAAACAAAAATACTTGAAAGCCCTTCAATACTTGTACCTTGAAATACCATGGACGTCGCCGTCGACACTTCATTTTCTCAATTGGGTTCAAAATATCATCCGCAAGTAGCAGAAGCCTAATATTTTAAATAATTCAGTTAAGGTTAAGTGGGTACAAATCAAGCTGCAATGAATAGAATTTCACCATTTTCATATCGAATCCTTCACCACCTTTGGCTATGCAGGTGGGTTGACCGGTGGGAGCACATGCTATTTTCAGAAAAAGCGTAAAGCATTGTGGGTGAGTTAATAGGGAGTGATGAGGCCGAATATTCATAGCCGGGGCTGCCTTACAGTCATGCATCTGATCTGACTTTCAAGCATGGGAAAAAGGGGTGCCCTTGCCATTTACGTGTTGCTTAAGTCGGTTGCTTAGCAGGACCGTAACGAAAAACTCAAGACGGTGATTCGTAATTAATGCTTAATCTTGCAGTTTATTATCAGTGGGTTCCATTTGTTCTGGGTCTGCAATGCTGCCTCTTCTACACCCCGCGTCTCATCTGGCAGGCAATTTGCTATAATCGCACTGGAACTGACTTGGAAAACCTTGTCAATCAGGCTGTGACAGCCATGCATAGCGACGGAAAGGGTCGTCAGGGCGCTGTTGACACCATCGCAGAAGGCATTGAGCACTTACTCTTCCAAGTAGGCTTTTACTTTGCTTATCCATGCTACTTCATTCTTTCTCATTCTTTCATACCACTTTGTCCATGTTTCTTTGGAGATAAGGGGCTATTGAAGGTGGTTGGCTTCTCCAATAAGGCTAATAGATGAACAGGGCATTGCCAACTTAAAATTTAAGCAAAGGCTTATTGACGTGGTGGACCAAAAGTTCCGTATCATTGCTTTGTATGTGGTGTCACTGCGACCTTTGGTCGCACCCTGAAAGGGTTCGAATCAATACGCTCCCAAAAGTTGGACAGATATTTTCTCTTCGATGTAGCCATGGAAATTGGACTGCTACTAGAGTTATTCAGAAAATGAATAGCATTTTAAAGCCGTTTCACTTTTAGTTCATAGATCACATAATTGGTTTGGAAACACGACAGGGATAAACCAAAGCCTATTACTTCAGCATATTAATCAGTCTCGTTCTACTTCAGGGTCAGAAAAGAGCTATGCTGGGTCGTGAAGAATTGAGAGGTGGTGGCCGAAGTGCCACGGACTCAGAAGGCGAGAAAATGTTAGACTACGCGGGTGAAAAGCATCACAGGCGCAACTTTGCCTCCCAAAGCGCACGTCTCCGCGTTTTGTCAAAGCGTCGTGGGAATTACATCGTGTTGACATATTTGCTCATCAAAATGCTTTACCTCGCCAACGCCATAGGCCAGATGTTTCTGATGCAACACTTTTTGGGTTTCAACTCCACATCTAGTCCCCTCTTCGGGTTCAGTGTACTCAAAAACATTATCAATGGTCATGATTGGCAAATGACACAGATATTCCCTCGTGTCGGCTTTTGCTATGCCGAAATGAAGATTCTTGGTGTTCGTGTGAATGGCGTGACGGCGCAATGCGCCCTACCTGTAAATATGCTCAATGAAAAGCTCTACATCTTCCTTTGGTGGTGGATCTTGGCAGCGGCTATTATCACCGCAATCTACTTACTCCTCTGGATCATTCGAATTTGTGCAAAATCACGAGAAGTTGACTACATTATTAAGTATATCAAATTTGCTGATGATGTTCCTCAATTCGATGAGCGCGATGTCGATGATTTTGCCCTTCGCTTCCTTCGCCACGATGGCATGTTCCTCATTCGAATGGTTCGATTGAATGCTGGTGACGTTGTTGCATCCGGGGTTGTAAATGCCCTTTGGAACCGATATCAAGAACGCTTGGAATCAGGGAATCGAGATCCTCTGACCAACAATCTACGTAGCAATGTTGGCTGGTCTGCTAGCCTTGAAAAAGGTGGAGATGATACCACCGTGAGAAACAGGGCACCTGAAATGCCTTCTGTTGACTCGACGGAGACGCCTTACCCTCATCAGCCAAGAAGTATTGTATAATTCATTCCTTACTGCTATTTCAAGCGCACGCACACCTGAAAGTATCATAAACGCTCAAACTCCATATTTGTTTTTTTCGTTGATAATGCGTTGAAAGGACCACAATTTTTTTACGTATGAAACTCTTCTTCATCATCTCTTTCCTGCACAACCGTGATTACCTTGCCTTTCTGAGAGCTGCTATTTTCGTAATAAGAAACTTTTAGTAAGGTGTTTTTTCAGAAGCTCTTCTTGAATCAACCCAAATAAATAGAAATAATTAATAAAACAGTGGTTTTGTCGTTTTTTAAAATTTAGATGTCGATAATTTACGAGTTTTGGGAGAGTGCGTGATTAAACTTTCAAAGTTTGTTTGCTTGTGTGATCTTCTTGCAGGTCGAGTAGTGAATGAGTTTGGGAAGAGCGCTCGGACTGGATGTAGTAATTTTCTTATTCTCTCCTTTTCTACGACCGCTCTGGGAACCACCGAACTGACTGTTCTGTGATAGCTTTGTTATTATCATCTTAATGAGAGAGCGATACGATGTCAAGGGAAACTGGGAGAGTGTCTCTTGTCCAATAAAGGAAAGTTGAGGAGAGTACATTTTGGGCGACGCAAGTTCTATTCCGGATGCATGCAACTTATTTCGGGTCATAGCCTTGACCACGGCGATGGAACCGGTTCGAGGCACGGGCCTTACTTCCTGTCTGACGCTACGTTAAGCATTGAAGCCACAATGTTGGCGCTGGTGGATGAGGGCGACTTGAAGGCGAAAATTCAGATCAACTTCGCAGCCTAACTTTGATTTGTGAAACTGTTAAGCATACGTATCTGCAGATCATGTCAACTGAAATTTGAAGCAATGATATTGAAGGATGCGGTAAATGCTCCTTATGCAGGCCAACTATGGTTTATTTAGCATTTATTCCCATCAAAAATCTCCCCTTACTCTGTAAATGATCCAATCAGTGAACTTCGACGCATTGTCTTGGGCACATCTTAGAAGAGCCGACAGACATGTTCCGAAGGGCTATTGTTGTGCTGCATCAGTCGACGAATAGTTGGTGGATTCTTGCATGAGAGAGTAGTGGAATTGGCATTAGTGGAAAGTTTTATTTTATTGAATAACTAGACTATTGGTCGCAATTGTCCGAGGTTGAGTCAGACCAATTGTTTTTTCTCACTGTCGATTAAGCTATAATAATGATTTTCAGGGTAAACCGACTCCTCTGCATAACAAGTAAAGCTAACTTATAACTGAAATAACAACGTATTTGATTTAAAAAGACACTTAACTTAGCTTTCACAAAGTGTTTACCACAAATAGTGATTGAGTAATGAGCTTCACTGGAACAGTGTGCTGGACATTTCCACGATCCAAATCGACGAGGTTGCACTCTCCCAGGCACAGTGGCCTCAAGCGAAAATATGACTGCCGAGGTCAATCATGACTGAAAAAATCAGCAGAAAAGGGGCCTAGGCACACCCTTGTCGACTCGGAGCTGCCTGCGAGGCATGCTTACGACTCGTTCTTATTATAAGGCAAGCAGTACCTCAACAAATGCGCGCGCTTCGTTTGCGACACTATGCAATAAGCCCTTTCATGCAACTTCGACTTAGCCCCCAACAATGCAATCATATGGTGATCATAACAGGTTTGCTACGCGAACGTGTAGTGGGTAAAACTAATGCTTCCAAGTTAGGATTGAATGCAAAAACAATGCACATTTGGTGGTGTAAAATGAAATGAAAACCACTATCCGCATTGACTCTGCTCCTTGCGTGAAGGAGGTTTTAAAGCTTGAAGTGATTACGCCCACGCTTCAGAAGCTGATGGAGTAGTTTAGAGACATGGAATAGCACAAATGCTCACACACACGCATACTGCAAACTCGACTGCATTTGGGGGTCCGATGCAAATACACAAAGACTTTGTGGTGCAGTGTGACACATATGATGACTCACACAGGTCCTGACTGCCACTTCAACAGCGGTTGGTGTTGACATTTGCTTACTTGGATGCTGTGCTTAGACCCAAGTCACGACAACTTTAGCTACATAGATAAATATAGCCATCCATACACGTCTAAGTAAGAGGGAAAAAGGGTACGAAGACCCATCCCCCAATTCCGACGTAATTAATACGCATTGGATTCACATAGAGCGCACCATTCCACGTTTGCACTTATCAAGCTTGATTTGTAAAATTGGAAAGAGTGCTGAGGTTCATCATTTACAAAGTCAAGGTTTATATCGGAACTGACTTCTATCGAGCATATGGTGCAAGAAATTGATGCCCCGCGAATTCCTGAGTTTCATCGACTCGACGTAATTACTTCTTTAACGTTTTGCTCTTTGCAAAATTTCTGTTTTCGAATGAATAAACTTAGAAAAAGGAATACAGCTGATTGTATTAAAGTAGCTGTCATGGTTTGGAAATTGAAGTTGCCAACCCTGTCAAGAAGAGGAGTGGCGCAAAGCCTCAGCGCCACCGACTGCTACTCAACTAGTCATGTGGGTGTGTCAGCATCGACTTTCTGGCCCAACAGTCTTA